TAGTATGTGGGTAGTGTTGTTGAGGGACCCAAGCTCGTATAATAAAGCGAGGCCCCCCACCTATTACTATGCCCTATCGTGAGCATTGAAATTGCTCAGTGTAGTTGGTGTATCATTGTACGTTACCCTGCCCCTGGGTTGATAGTCCATCACCCTGTGGTGCCGTAAGGCCTGCACACAGTCTTATAAGTTTCATCTCCGCTTTGCCTTCTTCCAGTCCGGTGAGGCTCTGTTGCCGCTTCTTTCTTGCTCAGCCATCTGTGTGGGTGCAATGTTCCAGTCCCTTAGGATACGGTGGCCTTCCTCCGGGGATCCTATCGTTGTGGTCCTCCCGTCCCGCATCACCAGGAGCTTTGTGGGGAATCCCCATCGGTATGGGAGATGGTTGTCTCGGAGCAGAATGGTTATATCCCTGAAGTCGCGCCGTCTCTTTAAGGTGTATGAGGATATGTCTGAGTAAATGGTTGTACCTCTATATTGTGCAGGCATTTCCTTCCGTTTTCTGTTTGCATTCAAGATAACTTCTTTAGCGTGGAAATAGTGCATTCTGAGTAAGGTATCTCTCGGCGTATCTGGGGGTAAGAATTTCGGTCTGGCAGTCCTGTGAATCCTGTCTAGCAGGAGCAGGTCAATTGGTACGTCTGGAGCAAGTGCTTTTAGTAGGCCCATGACATGGGCGTTGAGATCTTCATTTTTAACCGTTTCTGGTATCCCCCTTATGCGGAGGTTGTTGCGGCGTGCCCTATCTTCCATATCTGCTATCTTAAGATCTTGGTCATTTAGTCGTGCGGCCAGGCCGTCAACGGTTTCTGCAAGTGCGTTGTGGGCTTCCGCCATTTCTGTGATTTGTTCCTCCGTCCGCGCTGTGCGCTGGCCTATATCTTGGAGTTCTTTTCTTAGGGCTGTCATAGCACTGTCCATTTTTCCCACTATTTTATCAGACATTTCGTCTAGCAGTTTCCGTAGGGAGCTGTGTGTCAGCGGGTTGTCATTTTCCCCTTGCTGGGAGTCTGCATCATGCTCCTCACCTGCGCCATCTTGGGCCTGCTCAGACTGCTGTGGAGTTTTCCCCTGTCCCGTCCTGGAGGCGAAGAAATTTGATTTTTCTCCCTTGTCTCCTGCTCGTTTGCCTTTGGGGTGAGACATTATGGGTCCGGGCTGGTCCCAAGTATAGTTTTCGGGCTTTAATTTCTCCTTTTTAGCTGTCGCGGCACGGAGCGTCTGCTCCGGTCCGCGTTCAGGACACGCCCCCTAACTTTTTTAAAAACTAGCATTTTTCTGTCTTATTAACCCGATTTAGAGGTACGCAGAAAAAAAAAAAACTTTTCCAGGGAAGTTAAAAAAAAGATGGCTAATATATAAATCTCTTTAATCGGCTAGGCAGTGAGGAAAAGGGAAGGGGTTAATTTTTTTAAAAAAATAAATTGTGTTTTTTTTTTTTTTATTTCTGGAACCATAAAAAAAGAATAAGCCAATTTTAAACAATTTTTCTTTTTAAAGTTTTTAACGTTAACCCCTAGTTAGCCTAACGCCAAATCCCCCAATTCCCCACTAACTTCCACCTACCCCAGCTATCTAAATATATAATTTAAAAATAATTTAATTAATTAATTTAATTAATTTAACCCCTGAGGGTTAAAAAAAAAAGAATTAACCATCAGGGGTTAAAAAAAAAAAAAAATCTAGTAAAATGTAATCCCTGCCAATTGATTGTAGTCATGTTCAATTGGCAGGGAAGGGGTAATTTTTTATTAAAATGGGTAAGGGGGGGGACACTTTAAATTAACTTTATTTTTTTTAACAGCAGGGGGCAGGATCAGCACTGATCCGGCTCCCTGCACTTCACACAGAACCCGGAAGTGCAGGGAGCCGGTAGGTAGTATTCAGAGCACATGTGCTCGCTCCGACTTGTGGTCAGAGCGAGCACATGTGCTGGGCAGCTTGACCGGGTGCTCCCGGTATGCCTCTAATGCGGAGGCATACCGGGAGCACCATTAACCCCGCGATCGCCGCGATAGCGGCGATCCGGGGTTAATTTTACCGCGTGACGGACGAGGTCCGTCACCCGTCGTTAAGGGTCTCCCCTGTGTGACGGACCTCGTCCGTCACCCGTCCTGAAGGGGTTAAGGACGGAGCCAAATGTACACGTTGTGAACGAAACAAAATGTAAACAAAACCTGGCATTTGCGCTACATGTTTGTCCAACCGTAATTCAACTCTTTCATAGTAAATGCACCCTCCCTTATTATATATCATTTTATTCAGGGGAAACAGGGCTTTCATTGAATATCAAATATTTAGCTATGAAAGATAATTTAATATGAAAAAAATGGGATTAAATAAGATTTTGTTTTAATTTTTTTAGTTCTACATGACATTTTAACTGTCAATGTCATAATACGGTTTTCTTTTACTGCAATAAAATACACATATTTGTATTCAGCAAAGTCTCACGTGTAAAACAGTACCCCCTATGTACAGGTTTTATGGCATTTTGGGAAGTTACAGGGTCAAATATAGCACGTTACATTTGAAATTGAAATTCGCCAGATTGGTTACATTGCCTTTGGGACTTTATAGCAGCCCAGGAATGAAATTTACACCCACAATGGCATACCATTTGCAATAGTAGACAACCCAAGGTATTGCAAATTGGGTATGTCCAGTCTTTTTTAGTAGCCATTTGGTCACAAACACCGGCCAAAGCTAGCGTATTTGTTTGTGTGAAAAATGCAAAAAACGCCAATTTTGGTGACTAAGTGGCTACTAAAAAAGACAGGACATACCCCGTTTGCAATACCTTGGGTTGTCTACTATTGCAAATGGTATGCCATCATAGGGGTAATTTTCATTCTTGGGCTACCATAGGGTCTCAAAGGCACCGTAACCAATCTGGCGAATTTTAATGTGAAAAAAATGAAACGCAAGCCTTATATTTGACGCTGTAACTTTTGAAAACAGCATAAAACCTGTACATGAGGGGTACTGTTGTACTCAGGAGACTTCGCTGAACACAAATACCCTCCGGTCTTAAGGGGTTAAAGCTGAAAGTCTGCAGTTAAAGCACATCGTGTTTCATTTCAAACCCATTGTGTTGGTGTATAGAGCCAAAAAGATTAGAATTGTGTCGATGTCCCAATATTTATGGACCTGAATGTATGTCCTACTACCAAAGCCAGACAAAGACTCATTACTCCCAGAGAACTACAGACCCATTCCACTCAAACCTTGATATGAAGATCCTTGCAAAGATTCAAGCCGATTGGCATCTGAGCCTTTAAGAAAGGATTATGTCTATCAAGTAGGCTTCATACCTGGCAGACAGTTGTTTGAAAATACGCGTAGCTATGGAAACAGGTGGCCACCCATTCCCCTACATTGGTTGTTTCTATCGACGCTGAAAAGGCTTTTGATAGAGTCAAGTGGCCTTACCTCTTTACCTTGCTGTCCCACTTGGGCTTTCCAGAACCATATATCACCTTGATAAAGGCCTATAGACTGTAAGCTTGTTTGAGCAGGGTCCACGTAAAACCTATTGTTCCTGTAAGTTTTCTTGTAATTGTCCTATTTATAGTTAAATCCCCCCTCATAATATTATAAAGCGCTATGGAATCTGCTGGCGCTATATAAATGGCAAAAATGTATAGTAACATACAAGCACAAGTACTAATCTCGGGGCCCCCGTCTACCCTTTCCAGCTATATAATGGCACTTGACAGGGATGTCCTCCATCCCCCTTCTATTTGTGCTCTCACTAGAACCTCTCCTTCAGCTGCTAAGGCACCATCCAGACATACAAGGGGTCAAGGTGGGAAGGTAAAGACTTCCTAATATCGTCATACGCAGATGATGTGCTTTTCACACTCACGAGCCCAGTGGACTCTATGGTGGCTTTAGGGTAGGTCCTCTGATTATGGGACAATCTCTGGCTACAAGGCAAACATGTCCAAGTCTAGTGCTCTCCCTGTAAGAATATCTGCGGCGGACACTGCACTAATATGTGATACATGTATCATAAGCCTAGAAAACTCGCTTAAGTACCCAGAGATCCAAATAACAGCAGACCCAGAGAAACTACACAGAATTAGGTGCCCATGAAAGCTTTTACGGGATATGGAAAAGTGGACAGATAAACCCATATCATGAATAGGACAGGTCCAGTCAGTCAAAATGAATGTCCTGCCAAGAATTCTTGTTGTTCCAGACACTAGCTATTCATCTCACTAGGGAACACCTACTACAAGCAATCAGGGCCTTTATATGGCAACATAAATGGCACAGGATAGCAAGACATCTTGTACCAACTGAAAACACAAGGCAGACTTGTTTAACCAGCCTATATTCCGATTTAACAGCTCAATTAATGCAAGTAGCGATGTGGCACTCTTCCCCCAGACCAGAGGAAACTGGTGGACTTGGAATACCTTATATCAGGAGCAGACTTCCCTCAATTCATCATGTGAGTACCCGAAGAACACAGACCCCTGATTAAAGCTACTTGCCCAACAATACTCAATTCACTAATTGTGAAACCTTATCTCCGTATTTACCCCATGTATGACAGTTAAGGATTTCCATAATCTAGAGCAAGCATGCCTAGAGTGGATTTGTCACCTAGTCCAGGGCACGGAGGTGGTTTGATGATCTTAAGCAAAGGAGGCATCTTAAGCCTTCTGACTTTAATATATCTTGAGATCAGGGTTGTTTTTTTAAACATATCCCACATACCAGATGCGGCACATTAAACAATGTTCAAAGAATAATTGAAATTATGCCTAAATGCCTGATAGCTTCTTTATGCCCAGCTCCGCTCAGACTGTGGGAGATTAACATACAGACGAGGAACTGGAAGGCATTGAATGGCAGCAGATAAGAGCTACCACCAGTAAAACTATCGAAATAAAAATCCGAGGTGTGTTGGAGGAGCTGTGGAATGAAAGGGACAGACGTGTGGTGGGAGTATTGATCAGATTCTGAAATTTTATGAAATAAATGCCAGCCCAATTGTTAAAGAACCCCAGACCTCGACCCGTGATAGATCTGTTAAGTAGATCTACTGAAGGGTGGACAAGGAATAAACAAATTTATTCATAAAATAAACCTGGCTGCATGAAGGGTAATAGCTTTTGCCTGGCTTAAAAAAAAAAAAAAAATTCAGGGGTGATAAACCTGGTTCAGAGAGATACAGTGATGACCTAACAGCTAGGGTGAGAAGCCACTAAAGCATTTCAGAGTGTCTGGAAAGTCCTTTTGGAAGTGAGTGACAAATTGTGTCAATGTTACAATCATATGTCCCCCACATTTTAAATATGATTATGAAGTGTCTACATTAAGTTGAATATTATACTATGCACTACAAAAATAAAGATACTTTTTTTAAATGTGCAGAGTGGTGAAATTCAGTTACAATGCCAACACTTGCCAGTTGAGGACTACTTACACTGATAATACATGTGCTCATAGACCTTATCACAGGGCTCAACCTTTGTGACTATGGTCCTTCGCACATTCTTCCTTCCATTAGGTGTTCACAAGCCTTTTATATAGTTATAACCTTCACACAATTCATACAGCTCACAGAAACTGGAGTCCCAACAGGCATTAGTCTCCTTATAGACTTCAAGTATGCACAGCTGTTTTAACCAAACTAAACCTTGTACAGGGATTAAAAAAAAAAATTATAGAAATTATATGAAAACAACCTTATAAGACTAATTTCTACAGACACAAGTTGCCAATTAAGGAGGATTTTATTCATCTGGACCCATAGGTTTACAGTACAGTGAGTAAGTGCAATGGTGTTCTTTTCTCCTGCATTATGGAGTGACTTCAAGTATTAATGCCCCTGAAAATAATTTTACAGCAGCTTATGGGAATTAATTCTGAACAGCCAATACAAAGTGTCCTAGGAATAGAGACGAGAAAACCCGAGGAATGGTGTTCCATTTTAGGATTAGTCGACCTCTTCAATAGTGGGTCCAGATGATCCACCAGTGTGTTCACCAGCACCAGGGAAGCCTCCTGGCATACCACCAGGCATTCCTCCAGGCATGCCACCTGCACCCTGGTACAGTTTGGTGATAATAGGGTTGCAAACCTTCTCCAGTTCCTTCTGCTGGTGTTCAAACTCTTCCTTTTCAGCAGTCTGAAAAAAAAATGAGAGTTATAGTATGATTTTAACAAGTGGACAAGTAGCAGTTCCACAAAAAACTCTGGACCAATATATACTATTGAACCATGAAATCTGGAGGGTGTGTAAGAAATCTTCCTGCCACTCCCTCCATTGCAAGGAGACAGGTCGCTCAGACATCCAAGGAAGGTATAAAACCATCATGTGCCTTTCGACATCTGGTGGAAACTACGAATGGCTTTGGAATCATTCATCACCGCGACAGGCATGTTGTGTCACTTAATGCAGATCTCCCATGTTAGGTTTACATGTTTATGCTAAAGTAATTGCCCTCGGCTGGCTGAACACTTTTCCTGTCTGATAGTTGTGAAAGTTTGGAGTCAGCCTGCACACTAATCATGTATACATTTGTCTGATTGTTTATTGCAGCTGTCCAACAGCTTATACTGTAAGCAGCAGTGTAGAGCCATCAACCACTATGAAAAGATTTATGAAAATTCTCTATTGAGTTAGAGTTCACAAAATAAGCCAGGAAGAGTGCATAGAGTTTACTCTTCACTACCTGCAGATCAGTTCAATAGTGAAAGACAAGTTTGAGCCTAGAAATTAAATTTTAGGAATTGTACCCCCTTTCAAAAGTTCTCTGCAGTTTCTAAGTCACTTCACATACCTGATTCTTGTCTAGCCAGGAGATAATCTCATTGCATTTATCCATGATCTTCTGTTTGTCCTCATCACTGATCTTTCCTTTAAGCTTCTCATCTTCCACAGTTGCTTTCATATTGAAAGCATAGGACTCCAATGAGTTCTTAGAAGAAACTTTGTCTCTCTGCTTCTCATCTTCAGCCTTGTATTTCTCAGCTTCTTGGACCATACGCTCAATGTCCTCCTTGCTTAGACGACCTGCAAGAGTAAAAACAGAACAATGAGTGAGTAGATCGATCAGTAAAGGAAACGCCAATGCAGAAGCAGTCTTAAGGCTAGATTAAGTTATGCAATGAGCAATCAACCATACATGCACTTCAACAGTAAGAATGCTAGACCAAGTTCAGCGGTGTTGAGATACATGTTATCTATGCAGAGAAGATTTAAGTTAATTTGTCGCTCAGACATCCAAGGAAGGTATAAAGCCGTCATATGCCTTTCGACATCCGGTGGAAACTACGAATGGCTTTGGAATCATTCATCACTGCGACAAGTTAGATCAGACAGTAGCTTACCTTTGTCATTTGTAATTGTGATCTTGTTTTCTTTGCCTGTGCTCTTGTCCACAGCAGATACATTGAGAATGCCATTCGCGTCAATATCAAAGGTTACTTCAATTTGAGGAACACCTCTGGGAGCTGGAGGGATGCCAGTTAACTCAAATTTACCCAACAGATTGTTATCCTTGGTCATGGCCCTCTCACCTTCATACACCTAGAGATTAAGAAAAAAAATAAAGTTACTTTAGAGGTTTGTCACAGGTAGAACTACATTTAAGGCCACCTATATGGTCTGACATCTTACCTGAATCAGTACACCAGGCTGGTTGTCAGAGTATGTGGTGAAGGTCTGTGTCTGCTTTGTGGGGATTGTTGTATTACGCTTGATGAGGACAGTCATTACACCACCAGCAGTCTCTATACCCAGTGACAGAGGGGTAACGTCAAGCAAGAGAAGATCCTGGACATTTTCTGACTTGTCACCAGACAAGATGGCAGCCTGCACAGCTGGAGAAAGGAGGCAATATTAGCAAGTGTTCATGTTACCAAGTCAGATGTTTATCTAGCCAAGACTATTCGCTCAGACATCCAAGGAAGGTATTGTGCCATCATGAGCCTTGCAGCTCAGGTCTGGTGGAAACTACGAATGGCGTTGGAATCATTCATCACTGCGAATGATAGAAAGGCAAGGGATCAGGTTTACAGAACATACCTGCACCATAGGCAACAGCTTCATCAGGGTTTATGCTCTTATTTAGTTCCTTTCCATTGAAAAAGTCCTGAAGCAGCTTCTGAATTTTAGGAATACGAGTTGACCCACCAACCAGAACAATATCATGAATTTGTGATTTGTCGAGTTTGGCATCACGGAGTGACTTCTCAACTGGATCCAAGGTTCCTCTGAACAGATCTGCATTAAGTTCTTCAAAACGAGCTCTTGTAATGGAGGTGTAGAAGTCAATTCCTTCATAGAGGGAATCAATTTCAATGCTAGCCTGAGTGCTTGATGACAGGGTACGCTTTGCGCGTTCACAGGCAGTGCGGAGACGGCGAACAGCTCTCTTGTTTTCAATTATGTCCTTCTTGTGTTTCCTTTTGAATTCTGCAACAAAGTGATTCACCATGCGGTTATCGAAATCTTCTCCACCCAAGTGAGTGTCACCAGCTGTTGACTTTACTTCAAAGATACCATCTTCAATGGTCAGGATGGAGACATCAAAAGTTCCACCTCCAAGATCAAAGATAAGCACGTTTCTCTCTGCTCCAACCTGAAGGAAAAATATATAAAAAAAAGTTTATATACTGAAATTAAACTTTACACAAAAAAAAAAAAAACATTGGCACCAGCGTAACCTAGTGGGAGACA